TAGTATTTTGAAGCACAATATCTTACTATAAATGCAAATTCATTCACCATAAAGCATAGGAAGCACTCCTTTATGTATTAAAATGCTTTTAAAAAGGTTTGTGAATGAAAATGGTTACCGAGGATGCTCTAGATTAGACCTACAGCTTCTCAAATTTTCTTTTACTGACAGAAGGCACTAACTGTTAGTCTATTCCTTTATTTTTTGCAGTATTGGTCATATTAATTACACCTGAAAGACGACACAGTCATCGGTCACAGACAACACAGGTTCATGGGGGGGGGGGGGGGGGGGGGAAGTCCTATTTAACTAAATTAATCTCCTCTTATGACAAGATCACCCACTTAGTTGACCAAGGAAAGCCAGCTGATTTTTTTTTTTTTTTTTGGATTTCAGTAAAGATTTGATACTGTTTCTCACAGTACCTCTTTAGCTTACACCCAAAAACATTATGCCAAGGGTGAGCGATTTGGGCCTGACAGGTTCAGGCACAAAGTTACAAAAAGCTGGCAGACAGTCACTGTCAGGATTCCCCAGGGCTTCATTGTAAGGCTGGTTCTCTTGAATGTTTTCGTATATGACTTGTGTAGGACTAGAAAGTGTTTTGAGTAAATTTGGTGATTATACTAAATTGGAGGAGCTGTTAAATTGGAGGAGCTGTTGACTCCACTGAGGGTGGAGAAAGCCTTGCAGAGAGATCTAGACAAATGAGAGAGCTGGGAGGAAGCAATTCTGACTATAGAGAGAGACTAGGGGATGAAAGGATTAATAGGAGCCCTGCTGAAAGAAACTTGGTTGACAGCAAGTAAAACATGAGTGAACATTGTGTCCAGGCAGCCAGGAAGGCCAAGCCCAACCTCAGGCATATCAAGCATGTCATGACTAGCTGGTCAAGGGAAGTTATTGCTCTGCCCTAGGCTGCATTGGTGCGGCCTCACCTTGAGTACTGCGGGCAGTTCTGGGCGCCACAGTGCAAAAAGGACAAATTATTAGAGAGTGTCCAACAGGGAGCTACAAATATGGTCAAGGTTCTACAGGGAAAGTACGAGGAACAGCTCAAGTCCCTTGGTTTGTTCAGTCTAGAGAAGAGTAGACTGAGGAAAACACTCATAATGGCCTATGGCTTCTTCACATAGGGGAGCATAATAGCCAGGCACTGATGTCCTCTCTTAGGTGATGAGCAGTAAGACTCAAGAGAACAGTACGAAGCTGCTATAAGGCAGGGTAGGGTTGGTTATCAGGCAATGGTTCTTCACTGAGAAAGTCAATGGGCACAGGAATAGGTTCCCCAGGGTAGTGGTCACAGCACCATGCTTTCCCAGTATTTTTCTGTACCAGTAATTCTGAAATACAATGAATATGTTGATAAAAATACTGGGATGTTTTATGAGACCAATTTATAACCACTGTCAGTACATGGTACTATTTTTCTAATTCGTCTTCATATACTCACAGTGTCTAACAGGATATAAAATGCACTTCCTTTAAGTAGAAACAAATAAAATTGAGCTGATCACAGAAAGGTATTGTCAGTTCTTTACTAAAATTCTCTATGCAAGCAAAAAGAGATGCAATGACCTATAGAAAGCAAGATAGTTAACTGTGGCTAAAAAAATAATCGTAATATTTAGAATTTTGGGCCTAGTTTAATATCAGTGTACTATTCAGACTTACTTTTAGTAACTCCATACATATATTCCATTTGTTCTTAAATTTCATAGCAGAGATTTACTGCTACACTAGATCTGACCTGAGAATGAGAAAGCAGTCAATTCAGTCTAAGTACCGGCTAATAAATTTTGCATCAGATGAAGCCTGGCATTTGGATCAAGTAGAAATACAAAACCTGTGAGCTATGAATGCCAAGTGAGGAACTGTGGAATAGTAATGTTTGCAGTCATCCATTTAAAACCCAGTTTAAACTCCAACAACTCTGTCGAGAGAGTTCTTTTAAGCTCAGTCTGGTTACAAAGCATACATGAAGAAAGGCTGCCTTTAAAGCAACATCTTTAAAGAATGGCTTTCTAAAAACTACATTTTTTGTCTTAAAGGAGATATAACTTCATTCACTGTGCTGTGTCAGCAGATAAAGTGAAAAAACTTATTTTCTTTTTGAAAAGTATATGATCAAGTATAATAATTGGTTCGCTTTGGTAGAAAAATACCTGGCATACAGAAAAATTCACATTACCAGAAGATGGTAAAATATTTCAAATATTCAGAGGCGTCAGAACTATTGTCAAGCTTTTGACATATCCTAGCAGAAAGTAGAAAAGTTCCTATTCATCTTAAAATATCACATCCAGAAAGGACTCCTCAACTTTTATGAAAACTTGTAAGGTTACAATGCTCTTTCATCCACTGAAGGACTGAATCTTTCAGATCGACTGACTAGTGAATATCCAGTGCAGCTACTGGATAACAAATATATGAGCACTGCTCTGAAAGTAATACCTCTTATTTTATTGCAGTGGCCCTCAACATCAGAGGATGTTGGTGGAACGGCAGTGAGGTTGAACCTTCCCACCAATACTCTTACATTTTGTTGCTGCACAACAGATGGCAGCAAAGGGAAGATCTGACAAAATGCCACACTTAATACCAGTTTCTAGATGGAGTACATAGCCAATCTTAGCTGGACTGCCATACCACATCCACCATACAGTCCAGATTTGGCACCTCCTCACTTCCATCTGTTTGGGATTATGAAAGATGGACTGAGCAGACAATTTTTCTAGTGAGTATGCCATCATAGCAGCTGTGAAACAGTGAGCCATCTCTGCTGGTGAAGATTTTGACTGCACACAGAGCACACAGGCTCTTGTTCACCATTAGTTAAAATGCATAGCTAATTGTGGTGACTATGTTAAAAAAAATAGGGTAAATTCTCAGCTACAAAACACTATCAAAATGTGTTATTGTGCTCTTTGTTGCAGTTCCCATGGAAAAAAAATGAGGCATTACTTTTAGAGCAACATGTTTTCTACTTTGGGAAATATCTTAGAGAAACTAAGAGCTCAAGCGTGCACTGGACTTGGAGTTTTAGCCAAGAATCTAAAAGTCTGTTCTACTTTTCATAGCAGAAAAATAACTCCCTACAGACTATTTATTTTAAACGAGCTTATTTTCTAAAGAATTTAATCTTAAAGCACCTACTCAAATTTAGAATAAATTCACACATATAAATTTCTAGACATCTGCAGCTGGAATCTGCGTAAGATGTAATGAACAGTATTTCCAACTATACGAATCGTACTCTCATCCATATAGAATCAATGTATGAAGAAAACAACAGGCCCCAAATCTTAATGAAGATCTACTTTCCAGCTTATCTCAAATTTCATGTCAGTAAAGAACTTCACAAATAGGCAGAACTTGAGTTTTCAAATATGAAGAATCATCATACAAACTTATTTTCTGAAGAAAATCAGAAAAGTAAGGAGTTACTGCTTTTATTATTTGGTAAAAAAAAAACCAAAAACTTTGGCTCAATAAACTAACTTCATTCATCTAAATATAACAACCAGGACTAGCAGAAATGTTCTTTGGAACATTTCAATTTGCACTCCCCTTCATAAAGAGGGCAGATAAGAACACATTAAGAACAGGAGGAGGATGAGCAGTTGTCAAATCAGTAATCAAGAGAAAAAAGAACACCCTCATGAAATGCCGAATAATGACCTGGAAACTAAAATAAGGCACTTGAGCTGAAGCATCAATCATCCAGATAGCGGAAAGTAATATTTAGATGACTCTTGTACACAGAGGCTGAACAAACCACAATGAAAATGGCTTCAGTAGCTCATACGATCCAGCTGCAGTTAGATGTGTTATCTCTAGGTAAATACATCTTAGCAAAAAAGGCCCTACAAGAATAGAGATTACCTCAGAAAAGAGAACTGGATGTTTGGTAGAGAAAGCACAATGCAAACACTTTAAAATGTCTGTACACATATGAAAGCAAAAAGAAGGATGAGAGTTCAATTAAGGATGCAAATTAATAGATACTTTGATTTAAAGGTTAAGGCAGACCCTGACTGCTGGCACAATGCTTTTAACAAGTTGTATGACATGATATGAAGTAAAAAAAATGACCTTTTATTAGACAGAAGCTCATGGAGTGAGCTCCACAGAGAAGTGGGATAACCTCCTAGAATTTCCTGAGTCATACAAAACACAATAGTCACAATACTAAAAATGCGTGGTAGAGATTGTGCCGTTAACACACACACGCATGAAATAATAGAGTTTCAGCAATTAAAGATGTACTAGACATTCTGCCTTCTGTTGAACGGGGCAGAAATGAACTATACTTTCATGCTTCAACACCGCCTTCATCTTCTTATGTCTAATTCTTAATTGAAATTAAGCAAGATATTTTATTTTGTAAGCAACCATATTCAGTTGTTGACAGACACTTTAATCACGCTACTTGGTCACGTGAACCAGATCTTTAATTGCTGTTCCCGTGAAAAAGTGTTCACTAATAGTTTCAATGCACAGTCTTATTATTTATGAAGACAAATACCAGAATGAAAGTAAAACTAGGTGTGTGCAAGTTTGTATATAGTGAAAAAACAGAGAAAGGATGCTACTTCAACTAAAAACATTTAGACAGTTCATTCATTATTTGTTGGATGGAATACACTTGAAGTGAGGAATATTTTGTACAATAGGGGATAATAGCCTTGCTTACAAGTTCACACAGACAGGTTACATAAAATACTTGTTCTAGTACCCCAGTGCTGCAATAACATAGCTAACCATAAAAGTTACAGCACTCCTCCCAGTTTTTAAGAGATGAAGGGTAAGTAGTAAGAATAAGCAGTAACAAAATGAAGTCAGGTGAAACAGCATTCCCACTTTCAAATTTAAATTGAAACACATCCGTTTTTGGTTTCATTAAAACTCCTCTACAGCACTAGTGCAGTACAACAGAAAACTACCATCACCTAGCAAAGATTACTATGAAATAGTAATAGTTCTGACTTAAAACATACCTTGCCTTGGAAACTCATCCGACTCTCTGTGAACCAGGTCCGACACTCGATTTCCATAGTGCATCCTTGTGTCATGATCATATGCTTTCAGAGTCTCACTTGAGCTGTAGGACTTCTGAGTTGGTACTCTGCAGTCTTCACTGTCCAGTGAAGAACTAGTGTAGCGACATTCCTTCCCACAGCGTCCCCTTGTCAAAGAGCGGTGTCTTCGATCTTTTATATCCATTATTCTGCGTCACGTCGAACGTTTTCAGCAAAGCCACTCTTCTGGTAGGGATCAGACACTATCACCTAAAAAAAAAACAAAACAAGACATAAAAATGAATAATAGCGCTCGGACATTTTGTTTTACTCTACTTTCCTTGACACATCATTGTAAAAAAAAAAATGCTGCACAGCTTGAGAGAAAATACCCGCACCATATAAAACTAGAAATAGAAATAATTTACCTGGATATGATGGTAGGAGAAAAAATAATAAGAAATTAAATTCAGTAACAGAACTGCATTTTATCTAAATGATCATCTCACTGAAGACCTTAAAATACAATGATAAATCAGAACTGCTTACCTTTTTAATTTCCAAATGAGCAATGATAACAATATGGAACTGACAACATAGTATTTGCTCCTGTTATGCAACAATAAAAAGATAAGCAGACTCAGAGCATTTAAATATTTCTTTCTTCCTGCAGGACTGCTTGCAATTACACATGTAGGAAAGTTGCAAATTGAAGAGTATTCCCATTCAGTATTAACGTGTAACGATTGCATACATTATCCTTTAACAATGCATTTGCAAGCAGAAACTGGTTTTACTGTCCTTGGTTAAAAAGAACCAAGGCCCTATTCTGAAAAACAGGTTGGATAAGGTATCTCCAGAGACCCTTCCCATCCTCAACATTTTGGCATTTCTATGACTCTCTGAACGCGCTGTGCGAAGTGGCTGCTCTCATGACCCACAGAATGTGATCATCTTCACTCTCCCTCAGGATGACCATTTACCCATCTCAGCACTTGGAGTTCTTCAAAATTCTACAAATATCTTCTTGCTCAATGGACCAGAAAGAGAGATTCTTGTAGTCTACTTAATTAGGACATCCTTACCGGGGCACAGATGCTTTAATATATGCACAGTTAGCATGCATGGACTACAAATGAAAGATGCTGAAGAAAGCAAGAGATACACTAACCGTGAGCACCCTACCCACCAGGGTACTAATTATTTTGAGTTGGTATTTGTATCAGTACCTTTCTCTTGTGGCATCCTAATCTCAGGTCTGTACTAGTTCTTAGAAACCCTCAAGACAAAACCTTATGCTGGAAATGGAATCTTTGCCCACAAAAACACCCACGAGAGCTAACAACAAGAACAAAAGAACAAAACACATGCTCGTCTACATGTGGTTATGCAAGTGAAGAATAAGCTTTGGCACATGTAGCTGGGACAGCTGGAAACATTTCCTTTCCCACTGTCCCCTCAGCACAGGTACCAGCCCCATGCCCACCCGCACGGAGCAGACCGCAGCCCAGCGCCTCTGCTTCAGCTGCCGGAGCGCTTCAGGGGCACGGCTCCCTCTGACACAAAGGTTACCAACTCCAGGAGAAAAATTATAAAAAAAAAAACCTAAGGTAGTCATATCTTTCATCACTGCAGTTGCTCACACCGCGTATTTAAGGAGGCCATAACATTGGCGTAAGTACTGGGTAAATCATCGCTTTTTGGCTGGAATAGATTATGTCCCTGGGAGAGGATAAACGTACTTGGCCAGAGGAGCTGGTGAACTTGAGAAAAGGTTTCTTGGCTCCATTTAGACTCTGATATTTAAACTTGGGGGGGGGGGGGTTGTAGCTCCTGCATTTTAAAGAAGTTAGGTAACCAGGAAAAAAAGCTGTTTCATGACACCCACCGCAACTCTGCAGTCTGGGCGATAACCGTAAACATGCTTACTTTCCCCTTTTTTTCCTCTTATTTTTAACTACCATTGTGTATTACAGAGAAAAAAAAAACACACCCAGGAAGTCAAAACAAAATAAAAAAACATGCAGCACTTAGATGGCTAGTTGTATTACACTAGATTAAGGCTATATCTTAAGAGAAACAGAAGACTCAGAACACTCCCCCATTTCCCACCCCTCTGAGTGTCTAGTGGCTAAACACACTTGTATTCTCCAGCTGAATGCTCTGGTCCTGTATTGTTTATTAAACTGGAAATACCCTTGGTTACACGGTGGCTCCAACCCTGACTCGAAGTCTGAGGAGACACACAACTGTTCAGATGAGCAATGCTTGGCTCTCCAATCCCAGTTCAATATATCTGAATTTCATGAGAGAGCTTTGCAGTTATAAAACACAGGAACAGATGACTGCAGTACAGAAGAGAGCAAGAACTGTCAACTGCTTTCTGGCTGACTTCACACTACTATTCTGTGCTTTGCAAATGTCTATGCTATGGAAAGGTATTTTTCTAATTATCAGTTCAGACAGAAACAAACACCATTTTATGATTGCTAAACTTTAAACTGCCTGATCTGATTTACATTGTTTATGAAAGAGCATTTATCTAGTCACTGCCATAGTTCAAAGAAAGACTAGGACCATGACACTAAGTATGATGTTAGCTTATTAAAACATTCTTAAGTAGACAAAATTATCTGAAACTGTTTCCTCAACGAATTTTCTCCACTGAGCTTTCAACAAACACCCTACAAGTAGAAAAATAACAGGAAATGATAAGATATGGCTATTGTTGATAAGGTTGTGAAACACTTCAGCCACCTTCATGCAGGTCACAACGTGCTACTTCTGCATTGTGGTCCAAGTGCTTAACGCAGGAAAATAAATATAAAAATGGGATTAATGTCTCACAATAGTTTTCCTCTGACCTTTCTTAAGGAAAATACTGTTGATTTTAATAATACACTTAAAAATTTCTTCAACTTCACTAAATTTTTATGAGACACTTAAAATATTGCTGTTGATTTGAACAAGTTATAATTGGTTGGTTTTTTTATTATTATTATTATTTTTGTTTATTTATTTTTAAGTTATAATTCAATTATGTACTTTTTTCTTTTTCCTGGTTTTCCTACTGCCTAAGGACAAAACCCAAACATATGAGACTAAATACATCTCTCTGAACACCACAATTTATTTTATTTTATTTTATTTTTTAAACAGAGTCTGCTCATCCTCATTTCTTCATTAGGAATTTCTCCATACAAAACAGACAAGAAAAACACAGCTCCATAGCATCACCAACAAATAGCCCTTGAAGTTCAGAAATCATCACCAGAAGTGGTTCAAAATGAGAAGAAATTAAGTTGTAACAGTCCTAGAAATTTTCTTTCATGTGTTTCTTATGCTGATTTTATATTGGAGACATTTTGTTTCATTTTAGTGCTAAACAGTCTTTTCTCTTAGATAGAAACATCTTTAAGAATTCCTGGAAAAGTTAAGTTGGCGCAGTTTTGGTTAAGCTATGAAAACTGAAAAATTGGAGTTACAAATGTTTGATACTCTTTGACCTGCCTGTCTCAAGCATATTCCATGAATTCTTTGAGATACTGACCAAAACAATGTTCCTGTTGTCTTTTTTCTTTACCTAATTATGCCACAGCGGAGTAACAACCGACTTCTGTAACTTTCGAAACACCATCAGGTTTCGAAGAAAGGTTTGAATTGGGAGGAGCCTTAAAAATCATCTAGTTCCACAGTCCTGCCATGTTCAGGGTTGCCAATCACTGGATCAGGATGCCCAGGGCTCCAACCAACCTGGTCTTGAGTGCCAGTTTCAGGTGTGTAGTGTATCAGCTGATCCAGATCTCCCATGGCCAGTAAATATAAAACAATAAATGAAGCATGTTGTACTTGCTGCTCACGTGCATACAGATGCTGGACATGCAGCAAGTTACATGTGCCTAATAACCTTTGGACTTGTTACTAGTCCAGCATTCCTCTATTCATGAGCAGTAGCTATTTACCTGACATAACAGCACAAGCGGTAGCAAAAACTTAAGCAAAAGGTAGTCCAAGAACATTAAAACAAGACAAGGGCAAAAAAAAAAAAAAAAAAAAAAAAAAAAAAGAGAAGAAAAAAGAATAAAAGGAGAAGCTGAGAAGTGAAAAAAAAAATTCAGCAGTTTAAAAAAAAAAGTGACAACTTTTGTGTTAGCAAAGCAAAATCAGCAGGAGGTACAGAGGGAGGACCCAGATTTTAACAGCTTACTGAAACCTACGCTAAACCTCTCCTTATATTTGAAGTTGATTCTTAAACTGATCTTATTTACAGGCTTGTTTCATGAATTTTCTAATGATCCCTTGTACTGTTACATTATACATGGCCATTAGAACCGTTGCTCACAATAGACGGAATGCAAAACGCAATAATCGCTTGGAAGTTCAATTGAAAACAAAGCACCTCGCATTTACTTTGTGCCCCTAAATAACCCACTAAAACTAGAGCAAAGCATCACAATAGCACATATGATATTATTAAGTATTAAAAAACACAAAATACATAGTACACCACGTACCTATCTGTTCATTAAAAAAAAAAAACACAATACAGGTCTTAAAAGCCTGTACTTTTCAGCCTCAACAATTGGCAATAAGCTTGCGATTTAGAGATTCAAATGTTGCTCACTATTTTATGCACAGACCATTTTTGAAGTGAGAAAGTTTGACAGTTCAGCTTCAGAATAGCACAGGTTCTTACTAAATAAATGAAAGGGTTACTAAACTACTGTATTTTTCACTTGTTTAATATTATCGAAAAGGACGTCACTTACTTCTAGATCACTTTTTTTTTAAAAAAAAAGATAATAAATGCAATTTTAAATAAAATATCAGTATAATAATACTTTGTTGCATAACACAGCATTGATGACAATTGGGGTGGTTTTGATTTTGGTCCAAAAAGTCAAAGTATATTTGGACAGTGTTTCGAACAGTCATGTAATCTGATTTTCTGTTGACGCCTCCCTTCTGATTCCTCACATCGTATTTTATTATTTTTTCAGATACTGAATTTTTCTTTTAGCATAGCCAATCTTTCCAAATATCGCGTCAGTAATTAAATGTGTTTAGCACAACATCTGAAATAGCTATTTTACAACTGCTTTGATGAATGATTTGTAGTTTACCTTACAGAAGACATGCAGTGCTCATAGGCATTGCGTTGTTCTTTATCGCAGGGAAAAAAAATCCCCAGAAGTCAGTTTTTTTGCTTTTGATTTTTCATAAATAAAAGCTATAGGAAGCATTTTCAGATAAAGGGCAGCCGAAATTAC